TTCATGTCGTACTATTAACTTGTAAATTATGCAACGATGAATTATGGATATCGTGCTTAGCTTACTATAAAAGAGCGTTTTCGCGTTTAAGAAATTGAGCGTTTGATCAATCAATAAAAAATTAATATATTAAAACGATAAAAGTTATAAATAATACAGTTTTCATTAAAAGGCTAACTCAATATTTAGCCAGAAAAATATTGGCTTGAGCTCAAGATTCGGCTAATAGATGTCCAAACCTTGGTGCAATCTATAAGCAAAATCTTTAGGCTTGCGTAATATTTTTCTGGACAAAATATTTAGTTGGGCGTTTTTAAAATCGGCACAAGAGCCGTTTGTCTAACACTATATTCACCTATTACTTTATATTATACAATATTAATATAGGACGATAAAATTTTAACGCAAACGAACCGAACTGAACATTTATAAATTTTTTCTTAAGAACCTTAACCATTATAACTTTTTACATACTGAACCGTAACCAAACTGAACCGTTATAAATAACGGTTCGGGTTCCAGATCGAAATATCTAATTTTTTAATGATATTTTGCAAAGCTTGCTATCCTTTTAACCTTTGCACTCGAAAGATCTGGTACGACCTTAACCTTGCACATAATTCAACTTGAGCTACATCTTCTATCATCATTTTAAGATGGTAATAGACGAAATATGCAACAATTGATCTTAATTAAAAAAAATATTCAAAATCTTCTTTCTAGGGAATAATAATATCATCACGAATAGTAAAGTTTCTCATATAAACTGGGCAAGAGGGGGTATCATGGCCCTTTTTTAAAAAAAATTAAATATCGTTTGAGACAAGTTTTTAAAAATTCCGACTGTATTAATAAATAAAAATTATGAAGATATGGATAGATGATAAAGATTTTTTACCGATATTATGTTTTTTTTTGTTAAAGATTATTTTATATTATTATAAATCATGAAATAATTATCGATTGATTTACATATTTTTTTTTATCGCGAAATAAATTCCGGTGTTTTAAATAAATAAAAAATGTTTCAAAAACGAAAATATATTCTGAATCGTGATCTCTCAGAGGATCAAAAGAGAGAGAGAGAGAAAAAAATATGTGAATAAAGAGATTAAGTTATCCTAAAATAAACAACAATTAGGAATGTGCATATTATATTATTTTATAATTTCCCTAATTAACATACCATACGTTTCAGTTAATTCAAATATTATTAGTTTGGAAAAATTAAAATCATTGTCTTATATTAAAGTTAAGTAATTAATTCCTCTCGAATTTTATTACAATGACACTAAAAAAAATAAATAATATTTTATTTGGAACCATTTTTTAAAATTAAGTATTGATGACATTATTTCGATACTTTTTATTTTTAATAAAAAAATATGGGTTTTTCACAAAAATAAAAGCTAGTCATTTGATTAAATTATGAATGGTTTTTCAAAATCAAAGGTGATATGGTAGCCAACCAACTAAACAACCTTTAAAAAAATATTAATAAATTAATAATATTTAAAAAATTAAATTTCTACAATAATTATACAATTTTCAAATTCCTTTACTTATTATTATAATAATGATTTTTGCTAAAATAAAGTAAAGGAAGAAGCAGTTGCTTAATTTTTTATTTTGAATGGAAATTTATTATTTTGTTTTAAATTTAATTTAAATTTTTTAAATTGGAGTCGAATTTCCCATCTTTATTTAGTTATTAATTATTTTCCCTCCTTTTCTCTTCCTTAACCTTAAAAAATCAATTTTGTTAATGAAATGAATGATTTCAACGAAACAATTATCATTATAAATAATGGTTCTTCTTCTTATGAAACGGCTCGATTTGAGCCGAATTTTTAAAAATAGCTAATTCCATATTTTAGCAAGGAAAATATTGCCTAAGCCTTCGAGATTTCGCTAATAGATATGTCCAAACCTTTGTGCCATCTACGAGAAAATCTTTCAGGCTTGCGATTTTATAAAATATTGAGTTAGCCGTTTTTCTAAAATCGGCTCAAAACGAGCCGTTTACTATAAATATTAGTGACAAAGTTTTTTCCTGGAATAACGACTTATCGATAGTCGTTATATGAGAATTCTGAATCTTATGAATTATAATTCACTACCCTAAAAGGGTTTTTTTTGGATTTGCAAAATTCTATTTCACCCTAGATGTATTTTCGCGAGTAGAATATATACCCGATAAATTATAGACGATTTTGACTAGGTAGGAAATTCTATGTAATGTAAAGAATCGTTCAAAAGATGTGTGGGACAAAATAGTCTCTAATTCTTATGGGCAGATCCTAGTTAAAAGATACTTTTCAAATATCTATATAATCTATATAGATAACATGGTCTAAACAGATAGGACTTTCCCGGATACATATTTAAATATATTATAATCATTAAAATCTCTCGCCAAAACTCAAATTGCGAATTAAAACGTTTTTTTTAAATAAATAATTCTTATAGTTTTCACCAATGAGGCATTCTCGTTTCACATTTTAACGACGTTAAAATGTCTTTCAAATGGCGTGCTGGAAACTAGGGTAATGTTCTATACTCTACGAAATAACAAGGTATTCTTTAAATATAGTAAAATCGCGACATTCATTTTAAAAAATCCTCATATTTTTTTTTGGGAGGGAGGGGGGTATAATAAAATTTTTCGACATCTTTTTTCTTGCGATTTCCCCTATAGTATTATTTAAAAAACTTTGTAAGACTATCAACTTAATCTTGTGTCAATTCCTTCTTTTCTTTCTTCAAATTTTCTGGCAAAGCCAAATTCAATCAAATTTGTAAAATATGCTTATGCTGTATTGATCGCTTCTTCGTCAGTTTTCCACTAGTATTAATCATCTAAAATTATTTAACAGATTATTATTAATATCATTACGACATAGGTGTATCCAGGAAGGGGGAAGCACTATTAGATGAATCTTTCCCCATATATTTTATTGATCTTTAATTCAACTTATTGCAGGTCTTTAGCTATAAGATTTTTATTATACTTTCTTTTTTATTAAGATATTTTTTTCTAAAAATTTTTAATTGTAAGTCGTTATTTTAAAAAGTTATTAACTTTTACTCATTTTTTCGAATTCTTCCTTATAATAAATAATATATTGTATAAATTTTTGGGAGAGAAGAGGGTGGGGGTGTGTTGGGAGAAATTTTTTATTAGAAAATGATATTAAGGAGAACAAGCAAATTTGCGATGGGGGGGGGGGGGTGGGAGAGAAATTCCCTTGTTTACGTCCCTGATTTAGGATATTTTCATCAGCCATTGTGCAAATAAAAATAAATTGGTAAGAAATAAACCCGGATAGATATTTAATAAATTTAAAAATAGAATTATATTTGAATATTTTTATTTTAACAAAAAAACATAATTAGAAATATATCAAAATGTATATCTAATGTAATAAATGAAAAAGTTACTTTTGACGTATTAAAATTAAAATTTGCATTTTAAACTATATATGAGCATATTTCTGCGAAACATATTTAGAACCATTGAAGTATCATATTAAAATTCATTTATGTTTTAAATTTCAAATATCAAGGTATATTTTTATTTTCAAATTTAAAAGGTTTGAAATATAGATTTTTACATGTCAGATAAAAATATGACAAAAACATTCTATATAAATAAAACATATATTGTATAAAAAATATATTGTTTCTAAAAAAGAATAAATTAAAATAAGGTGGCTAAAAAGGACTATAAAAAATATACTAAATAAATATTTAAAATAAATTGAAATAGGTTTGGAGCTATCCAAGGGAGGAGTAGATGCTTAATAGACATATTTCTAAGGAGATCATCTGTCATAGAGAGATCTTTAGGAACTCCGGTGCCTAGAGTTTCCAAGGTTTTAATAATCTTGAAAATAAATTACCTACCCCGGGATATCACTATTTCCCCATCTCCCCTATATATCACTTGCATTTAGGCGTATTAGCTCTCAGACAAGTTTTAATTGCTGACATAAATATTTTATGATTAAATTAAAGGGATATTCCAAACATGCCCTTCCCTAGCGACCTCAATGATACAACACGGTAACCCTTATCAACAAGTTACATTTTGTGATCGTTACTTATTTGAATGTAACTTTTATTACATATAAATATATATTCTCAATTAAAATAAATTATTTCAACCAAGTATTTATGATATACTCATCTTATATTTAGGCATTATTTAAAAAATATTGTTTTGTTTATATAAGTATTCTATATTAAAAAGGGGCCAACCTAAAATCTCCCCTCTCCCCCATCCAAAAAAAAATAAAATTTTTATGAGGTTTCTTCTTGAAGCCCGTGTATTCAAAAATTACAACCAACGCCCTACGGTGAGTTACCAATGTTTACTAAAAACTACTAATACTCTCTTATAGAAATTAATTTGATTTGGCTTATATAAAATATAATATAGAAATTCTCCTCATTTTGATATTCATTTTTTAAATTTAAAAAAATATTAATATTTATTTATTTTGAGGCCATGTACAAAACTGACAAAAATAAATATTTATAAAAAATTCAATCAAAATTTTAATTAAAATAAATGGAAAACTGGTTTTTTATATCAAAAAATAAAAAAATATGTCTACTTTTTTTTTGGAAATTGTGGTAAGTTTAAATTCGTTTATTTAAATTTTTGTGAAATCTGTGAAAGTTTTCCAACTTTGTCAATTTTCGTCGAGTTTTGGATAAAGCCTAACATACAATTATGTTACTCTATGCAGGACTTCAACCAAGATCTTTATTGAAATGGGAGTGGGGTAACTATCTATGAAAAATTAGAAGGGCATAGTTTTGATGATAACATATTAGAAATTGGGGGTGGAAGGGTAAAATTATCATCACCTAAGGGGTGTATAGATGTCTTTGATTCTGTTGCTGATGGGGGGGGGGATTCGAGGAAAAAAGACTTTCTTCGTCAATAATAAATAATGATCGAAAATGATAAAAAAAAAATATATTTTTTTTACTTCTATCGATTGAAGAAAGATTTTCGCTTATTTTTCGATAAAACATCTTCTCGTTATTTTTGTTATCGTCAATCGAAGAATGTTTACTTTGATTTCCTTTCCCATCGAAGAGAGATAGAATGTTATCATTTTCTTTTGACACGTTAGGCCTATATTTAAAATTAAAATTTTTTTTTAAAATATAATATTAAATTTATACTAATTTAGCAATATACTGGAAGGAAGATAATTTATTTTCATACAAATAATAATTACATTTATTGGATACCATCAGGCCAAAGAATTACCCCCCCCCCCTGCCCCCAATTAGCCCTATTGTTAAACGGCTTCTAGTTGAGCCAATTTTTTTCAAACGGCTAATTCAATATTTTATTTCCAGAAAAATATTACGCAAGCCTGAATATTTTTTTATCATAGATTGCACAAAGGTTTGGGCAAAATCCTTTAAACAACTCTATATGGCGCCTTTTTTAAAAAAAATTATATTATATAAATAAATTAATTATTAAATTAGGAGTATCTATGTCAAATTGGCTATGGCTATTAGTCATGGCCAACTTTTTTATAACTAGAGCTATTTAGCTATAATTTGGTTACAATTTGGTACGGGTAAATTCAAGTTTTTAACGGTTTTATAAACTATAAGAAATATTTTTTATTTCAAACTCAGATCAATGTGAATATTAAAAATAAATGGATTGAATCATATTAAAATTAATGTAATTAATAATCTCATTCTTATAATTCATTACATAAAAAAAATTATGAGATATCACTTTCATTTTTTAATAAAAAGTTCAAAAAAATGGGTAGTTGGAGAAAATATATTGGAAATAATCTTTTCTATAGATCTTTATTTGTAGTAAATAAAAATAAGAGTCATATATATTTATTAATCGATTCTATGAATTATGGCTCATGACAAAAATATCCCTTATAAATACGTTTATATAACATAATTATTCATAAAAACAAAAGAAAAAACTATATAAAGGCCATTTAAAACAAATTTGGGATTTTATAACTCAGAGGGGAATTTTTTAAAAGAATACACTGACAATACATACTTAAATGCGGGGAAAGTTCGACTTGCATGATCAACTTTAGCATAACTTTATAAATCCTTATTACCCAGAAATATAATTACCTGAATTAACTTTAAGATGGGGGGGGGGATATATGTAATTTGTAATAGAAGGTGGTAAAACTTTGACTCATAAGAAACTATTAATCTGAACATTTTATTAATCTTTAAGAATTCTCTCAGAATTCATAAATTACTAGACATTTATATATCATTCGGAATTTTCCCGAATTATCATTTAAATTTCTGCAAAATTTCGAGGATATTTATTAAAATAACTATTATAGGGTTGTTCTTCTTTTCTCTATTTTTATGAGAAGGTCAATCTGATATGGTTTTTTAATTCCATCTTTTTGGCTAAATTAGCTATATTGTAAATAAAATATCTTACGATGTATTAAAATCAAGATTGTCCTTGCGTGAAATTAAAAATAATATGTTCGATTTTTTCGATGTTATGTAAAACAAAAAAAAATATTTTATTTAAAATATGATATTTTTGCCTATGTTATACTCAATTGCTTATAACTAAAATAAAGCACGTTGGTGTGCGGACACATGATAAGAAATAAAAAGTCACTTTGGGTAGTACCAAAATCTTTTGCTTTGGGTTAATTGGGAATCCAATGTTATAATTTTTAAAAAAATTATACAGTGCAAATGTTAATAATTCACATTTTTGAAAAATGTCTATATGTTTTCCAAAACAAAAATCAAAAACGTCCTTTAATAATGAAGCATTTATATAACTGTTATACTCACAAACCAATCTTGTACTGGTGAATACATTTGGCTATCCCCAAAATGAATTTTTTTTAGCATCTGACAAACTACTCATAGGTTTTTTATTCGTCAACAGTTGTCAATAATGGGAGGATAGAAACTCAAGAAAATTATAGATTAAAAAAAAATTCGATTGAAGCTCCCCGTATCACTACTTAGGGTGGTAAAATTAAAACCATCAAGACAATCAAGAATAATTTTGAAACTATTATACATTTAATTTATTTGGAGACTTGTCCGATACGATGCTGGAGGGGAGAGGCTTGGCAATATTATAGCATGATATATGGAAGGTGATTATGAATAACGGTACAAATAGAAATATCAATTATAACATCAAAATGATATGGATTATCCTAATCAAATTCAAATACCGGTAGTTATTATTTACCAAATCTAAACCGAAATCGCTATATAAACCGTCATACGAACTTCTAAAAAAATACCTGCAAACCGGTTTGATTTGATATTTTTACCCTTTTAAAGATGATAAATAATCAAATTTGACCGATAAACATCGATAATTATTATTAGATATATTTGCATATTTGGTATTTGACGGTGCTGATAGATGCCCAAATTAGCATATAGGATGTGTTCTCAGATAAAATATATTCTTCCTCCTTATAAATAATATTTTGATATTTTTTTTAATACGCTTGTAAATGCAAAAAGGTTAGAACCGGTTTTAAAATTCAAACCGAACCGATATAATTTTTTTCTAACGAACACAACCGAAATCGTTATTTTTATCTGAACTGATATTCGTGATACGGATTTCTTATCTTATTTAATTTATTGATTTTTTAAAAAAAAAAATTATAGTATAGATTTGACCTACACCCTGAACATTATTATTTTACAAAGAATTGTTCTTTGTAATACCTCGTACTATACTCTACCCGATCCGGCCAGACTTGGGCCTAATATTTTTAAATAAGCCGGGTCAGGTCTTGGAATTTTTTTAAAATATATTTAAATTTATCAATTTTATATTGAATTTTTTATGTAAAATAAAAATATTTGGTTTTATTCATAGAACTAGACTCCATATAACATATGTCTTTTATTTTGAGTAATTATAAAAATTTATTTCTATATTTAAATAGGTTCGGGCCCGGCCGGTAAATTTTCTTAAAAATATTTCGGGTTCGGTTTTAAAAAAAATTAGGCCGGGTCGGGTTTGAAAAATTAGGCCCGATGCAGATCACTACTATACTCTACTAAGTTGGTTACGAATTTCGTATTATAGTTATTAAGGATAAGGGTCCAAGTTGAATAACTAATATTAATAATTAATTTTCGTGAACGAAATTTCGAAATCATATCTTATAGTTTTAAATAGAACACACATGAGTTATGTGAATTTCGTTTTAAATAAGAATAAATTAGTTTAGTTCTTATTTAAAAAAAATTAAAACAAAGTTAAAGGTAGATAAATATTCTTTATATATACTTTTAACGTTAGAATTAATAAATTAATCGTAAACTATTAGAATTATTTTGAACGTTATTACAAGCTGATGAATTATTTATTATTTTTAAATCTCTAACAAATTTGGCTACTAAACCCCTACAACTATCATAGTTTAGGAAGATAAGGGATTGAATTTATAAAGAAATCTTCGATAGTCGAAACAATACAATTTTCTTTTGCTATCTATTTTTCTTTTCATTGTATCTAACGGAATGAAAGAGTTGTCTTGAAACAAATTCTTATTTAGGAACGGTTTCATTATTTTAAAAAAATTATGTATTTACTAAAAATCATTCCTAGGCTGCCTTCTATCTCTTAATTTTAGAAAGAAATATAAAAGGAAGGAAGGAAGGAAGGAAGGAAGGAAGGAAGGAAGGAAGGAAGGAAGGAAGGAAGGAAGGAAGGAAGGAAGGAAGGAAGGAAGGAAGGAAGGAAGGAAGAAAGAAGAAGGAAAGAAAAACCCCCCTTTACCTTACCCCTATATTCCCACTCAATATTCAAATAGGGATAGCCTCTTCATATTCGATTTCAATGGCAATCTTGTGTCATATTCCAATCTTCCCATGGTAAAACACATTCATTATTAAATACAAAATATTTTGACTTGTTGGATATATAAATCGTGTTTTTTTTGTTATGATGAAATGTCATAATTTTTCAACGATTTCTAATTATATTTTTATTATTATTTTTTGACGAAGAATTAATATCTATAATTAATTTGTTGAGGTTGAAACAAGAATTATTTATATAATCAATATCGATCAAAGCAATCATATCTTGGTTTTAAAAAAAGGGATTAAAATTAATTGAAAATTTCTCCTCAAAAAATTTTTTTTGGTTGCTGATATTATGTCCTTTGTTGGTGGTTACTGATAAAAAAAAATTCAATTCCACTCTTTTTCATCTGTTTCTCTATTTAATCCTCATAAAATTTATTCTATGCTTACAATGTTCAATTCAAAAAGATAAAAGCACATAATTTTCTTTTTTTTTGAAAATAGAATATCAGAAATGTTGTTTACAATATTAAACTGTTAGCACTATTTTAGGAAACGCTAAAAGATAATGGTAAATTAATCATTTATACCCAATAATATACAAAAAGACTGATGAGTTGTGATTTATACAATATTTTTAAGTTTTAAAGCGCTTCATTTAATAATGTTTTTACATGTATGACTATGCATTCATAGTTAGTTAGCGCGAATTCTCAGTATATAAAATACAAAATAAATTATTAATTTTTATTAGCTTCACATCAAATACACACTAACTGTGAATGCAGAATGACCCGTTTTTTAGTGTAAAATTTCATAAGTTGAGATGCGCTATACCCGCCTCGAGGTCTTAGAGCATTTTGAAAATTTTTAAAAATGCCAATTCCTACCCATCTGATTATTGTATGATTCCTATTATAAATAATACCATTCCTATATTATAATTAAATCTACGCAAGAGATGATAAACAAAAATTATGAGAAAGGTAGGTCTTTCCTAAGGTAACCCAAGTAATATACGAAGATAAAACCTATCATACTCAATATTATATATTTTATATAACATCTAAAAAAATGAAGTAATGCTGTTAAACCGTACCAGGTCAATTCAGTGTACCTTTATCGAAACACTTTTTCGTGAAACTTTTATCACCAATGTCGTTTACCGCGAATGTAACATCGCGAAACCAATTCCGCGAAATATTTATAGCGAAGACAATATATCCATTATCGTGAATTTATTTCCTCGAAGCCTTACGCGAATACATTTAGCAACACATTTGTCGCGAACCCTTTATAGCAAATTTTCCGAATGTATTTGCGCTAAGTTATTATCACGAGCGCATTGGCGTGAAACAGTAATTATATTGCGAATTCATTTATTTAAAGGAAAAAAACATATTCAATATCAATCTACTTACCAAAGTTCTTTAAATCATAAATGCGAAATGTTTTAAGGATATTTTGTTACTTATTGTCTATTAAGTAAGCATGCAACATATATCTGATGTGATAGAAAATAAATTAGCTAATTTCTTTTTGGTCTCTCTCACTCATGGTTGTAAATACGGAGAGGACATTTTGGTTCAAGTTGTTACCCCAATAAATATACTTCACCCCATAACATAAATTTAAAAAATGGGCTTTATATCATTAAAAGTGAATTTTAGTGGATATTCTGAAATGCTTATAAATTTTTTGAATCAAGATAAAAAATATTGAAAGCTAAGAATTTTTGCTAAACTCAGATTATTTAAAAATCATAGCAGATTTTGCTAATAAAAATAAATAGTAAAAATTTCTGAGCGATATACTATATTTTCTAAGAAATTCAATTCTGAGAAAATTAAAATTTTTACTTAGCAAAATCATCTTTTAGTAATTTAATAAAAATTACTTTAAGTAGTTTTAATTCTGAGTAATTTAGGGAAAAAATAATATATGCTGTAGCACTAATCTATATGTATTGGCTTGAGCTTCAGAATTAGTGCCAGCCAAAATTTGGCAAACTTCATGCTTAAAGCTGTATCTTAATTTTATATCCAGATTCATATCAAATTTTGACCAATATTTTATGTCTAAGTAAATAGAGGCAAAAAATATTTATAAAGATAGATAAGATTAAAAATATTTAAATTAGGGAAATCCCTTACATTATTTATTTTTGAATCGCCATTAAAAATTCGATAATGACAGTCTAATAACTCTGTTTTGGTAGTGACTTGATTGATGAATTTATAAATATTAGTAGTTGAGACCATAAATATTGGCGCAACCCAGATATCAGTTTCGCCAATAAGGATCAAGGTTTAACTAATGAACTCAATGATTAATAAATCAATAAGCCTAGACACCATATGTGCGATTCTTATAAAATAAAACCTCGAGGAAAAGCATAGGGCAGGATATAAAATTTTTTTTATTGCAATGATAAATTTTATAAACCAAATACTTTTTTAATCATTATATAAATTTATTAAGGCTAAAAGAAAATTAAAAATTCTATCATTGAATCAATCTTGTACCTATTTTTATGATCATAAAAATAAATGTTTCAAATAAAATAGTCACTATCTGCAATTATCGCAATATTAACCCCGTGATATTAAACTCGACATAATATCTTCGCGATATAAGTTTTGCTATATTATCTTCATGATTTGGGTTTCACTGTAATGACTTCGCGATATTGTCTTCGCTGTTAAAAATAAAGCGAAAAAGTGTTTCGCGCTAAAAGTGTATCGCCGAATTGACATGAAATCTTGTTAAACGGCTCAATTTAATCGCTTTTAAATTAAGATTTCCACCAAAATAATTTTACCCAGACCTCGAGATTTTTTTAATAGATGTCCAAACTTTCCATCTACGAAAAAATCTCATTTCTTTGCTAAAATATTGGAATTAGCCGTTTTTAAAAATCGACGCACTTAACAGCGTTTAAAATGAAGTTCAAAAGAAGAAGATAAAAAATATTTTTATGCTTAATTATCAAATTTTTTTATTTAAAAAAATAAATACTTTCCTAATATAAACAAAGGATTAGAAAAAATAAATTTATATTTAAAATAAGATGAGTTTACAAAAAAAACTAAGAAATTGATAGTTATCAGAATCAGTATTTCTGAAAATATATCAGTAAAAAAAAAATCTGAAAATAATTTAAAAGTATGCAAAACTTATTTTCATATAATATGCACTTTATAATGGCTATTTTAGATTTATTTTTTGATTTAAAAAAAGATTAAATTTTTTTTATAAAAAATGATTATAAATAATATAATATATCATTCACGCAATTTTTAACTTATCACGATTGACGTAAAATGGAAATTATATTTTATATAAACATAATTAAAAGAGTGCGTTCATTTATTATTGTAAATATATATATTTATTATTTCGAATAGTGTTGTTAAACGGCTCGATTTGAGCCGATTTTGCAAAACGGCTAACTCAACATTTTTTCCCTAAAAATATTACACAAACTTGAAGATTTTGATAGGTGGAACAAAGGTTTAGCGTAATCTCGAGTCATAGGCAATATTTTCTAGCCAAAATATTAAGTTAGCCGTTTTAAAACCGGCTCGAGCCCGTTCAATGTCACTAATTAAGAATAAAATTTCAATAATGACTGATCATTATGTAACTACGGCTGATTATCATTATATCAGAGGCGTAACGCAAAAATCTATTTTTGAAACCCGAGGGCCTTTATATCTGCATAAAATTAGCTTGGGCCAACACGCGCCGCGGATTTTGCGGGTGAGTTCTTTACACTTTTCTTTGCAACAATATAAGCAATATTTTATCTTCGAAATCATTTTATAATATTTTCAAATAATCGTGGGAAAGATTGTTTGTCATTTAAATAATATAAAATCTTTTTTTCCATTTTTTTAAAATACTGCTTCCTAGCGGAATAAAATTTGCTACGAATTTTTATCGCCGACATAGGGAATTCGTATTATTATAAATGCTAATGTCCAAATTAGACTAAGATTAATAACCAATCTTTATTAGATAACATTCTTTAAACACTTAAGAAAATTGGTAGCCAATTTTATTTACCTAGAACATGAATTAATTATAAAAATGAGTCTTAATCACCGATAATGGGTTGCATAAAATCTCTGCCCACTCAAAATTCTGGCAGAAGAGACACGTGATACAATCATTATTAAATATTGTCTGTTATTATATTAATTATGTTTCTTCTAGGACGTTAATGACTAAAATATAGAATGCATACTGACCATTTGTGTTGATTAATTGGATACCCTCCCCCTTGTTACCATCTAAAATTTTATTGACGTAATGGCATCGCAGCCCCCTCCACCACCATGCTAAAGAACCCTGAACTCTAATCATTTGGTATTAAACTAATTATTTGGTATAAACTCCTTACCCCGTCATGCCTTTATTTAGTATACACGCAGTGATACCTTCATTTTAAAAATAACTATAAAGATCGAACATGTGTCCATCTATTTTGCTTCCATATTGAATTTTTCATATACGGATATATTATGTCATAATACTAACCTTTTGATGATCCCATTTGATTTTGTTGTATCAATGGACACAGAGTTGTTGAAAATATCGTTAGTAGAATAAAGAGAATTTTCTATTTTGTTTTTGTAAATCAGGTCCCTCTCATCGTACATTACAAACTCATCATCCAGATCTTCAGATTCTAAGATAAATATAATATATATTTATATATTTTTTAAAAAATAATTAATTTGCATTATTCAAAAATAAACAATTTGAATATAATTATAATTAAAAATATTATGTATACCTACTAAAGCCTGCGATTTGACTATTTTGAGCCTCGTCAAGCTATCTTGCGTATTTAACAACTCGGTAGCATCTTTTAAGGTATGATTAGTGACGTCATTCCCATTAATTTCTAGACATTTATCTCCTACCTTAATTACTCCAGACCTATTGAAAAAACAATATTTAATTATATAGTATAGTGTGAAATTGTTAAAAATTAATTTATACTATATTATTATATTATTTAACCTATAGGCAGGACTTGCTCTTTTGACTTCTGATATAACCAAAGGTTCACCAAATTTCCTAGAAAATGGACCTGAAATAAACGTTTATAAAGTTTATAATGAAAAGATATCATTTAATAAACTCATTAATTTCAATCCTATGTCTGAATTGAGTCTCTTGGCAATCTGGACAACGAAAACTCCTGATGTAAGTGTTATAGACTCTAAAACTTTGAATTCAATCTTGAGTCGACAAAGCTTCATGTGACTGTTATCATATACTTTTGATGAATTAGTGATCCATTCTGCCACCTTTTGAGCAGGTACATTATCGATTTTTCGTCTGTTAACTTCTATAATCTTGTCACCGACTTGTAAAACGCCGCTCCTGCGTTGTTGTGACATTTTTATTTTTTACAAATAGAAAGTGGAAATAATAATTTTTAGTAAAACTAGATATTTAGGTGGTCAATTTAAGTAAAATATGTTAAGCCTATTAATATGTTAGAATCTGACAAAAGTTATATAACAAAACTTTAAAATAAGATCAAAATTTGGTTCTAGTTATTTGATTTAGTTTAAAAAAAACCACAATTATTTTATGTTCGGCATCCTTGCTCGCCATTTTTCTTTTCAGAAATTTCTAAATATTTATTTGAATATCATTATAGAATATTTAGATCAAGAAAAAAAAATGTGTAGTAGAATGCTCAATTACAAAAATCAATAAGAAATAGGCCACGGTATTAATATTATATGCATAAACTTTTTTTAAAAATACCTCTCGGACACACTGAGCGGATCTATATTGCTTATGAAGGTGAAATAATTTCCGGTGATGTCGTTATACATCTTATTCTGAAATTTTAACATGTAAATATAAATATATATAATTTATACATTTAAATATTTGCGCAAATGAGACCTTCTCAATAAGGCCAGGAAAAAAATTTAAATTTTAAAATAAGGTCACAGTTCGGTCCGGTCCGTGTTATAAACGGACCTGTTTTAACTTTATGTGGTGGGAACGTGGACAGGTTAATGGTGCCTAACTCTATCATATGTATGTAGGTGTATATAAATATGTGATTTTTTTTAGAAGAGGAAAAAAAGGTACTTGTAAAGCTATTCCCAATCCATGAGAATCAAATTTGATAATTATTTCGATATTTTCGATGTGTGAAATATGATTATTAAAAAATTTGTCGGAGGAAAGTGTCGAACTTTGACCTAATATAAAAAAAGAAACCACATGAGTTAAAATATAATAATTTTTTTTTACTTTCATAGTTCAATAATGTATCATCGTGACATCCTTTTTTAGTATGGCGCAAATTTTTATGGTGAAAATCGTTACATTCGGATTCTTCAAAGCTGCTTAACGATGTTTGCGAGCTATTGGAGGAACCTAAATTACAATAACAATAGGTAGCAAAGAATATTGTTAAGTTATATAAAAAAGAATGTATTTTTCTTCTATTATATATTTCCACATTATAAACTAATTTATGCATATTCTTTTTAGGAAAATAATTAATCCACTGTATGAAGAATTGTAGGCATTTCCACTCATCGAAAATAAATGCAGGCCCAACTGATAAGCCCAGCAATGCAAATTGGATTTATACACATACGTCTTTCTATGACGGCGTTCTTATCTTCCCCGTCATCGGCGCGCATATCCTCGATATGTCGTCTCCCGTTTCCGTTGCATTTGATGGAATGGCAAGAAAATTTGGCCGTGTTGTTGGAGTCTCCTAAATGATTGGTCACGTTTTTGTAGATAATCAATTTCATAGTTTGCCTATTTTTGTTCATATTGTATTTCAGCAATCTTTGAGCCTCCAGGGTAGACATGCCTGCTGTGTTCATGTCATCGATGCTCAAAATTATATCGTTGATGCATAAAACTCCACATCTAATTAAATTAAATATAAAATGTTTTGCTTTCTTTCATTCTTTCTCTCTTTTTTTTACTTTCTTTCTAACGTACGAATACCCTTAAAGGAGTTTTTTCGGGTATTTGATGCATTTTATGAAAAATAAAATGGTAGGATTAGTTCTTTTAAAAATTATCTTAGACTTAATATATATTTCAGAGACCTACAGTGTGGAGACCAATTTTTAGACGTACAGATTTAAAAATCTAAGTCATTTTCCCTCCCGGCTCTTATTTTTTTTAACAATTTTGCAATTTTTTTGAAAGGTTAATTGATATTGATAATATGAGCAAATTAACGATATTTAAAATTATTTCCGAAAACTCAGCAAGAGTTTTGTAAAATAATAGGAGTATTTACTCCCGGAGGGATACCAATCAGGACGTGTTCTAGGTTTATGACTTCAGGTCTCTAATATTTCTATAATTATTGTTTCGAACCTTATATGAGTGGATTATTTAAATATATATCAAATCTTATAATATACCCGTCATAACCTATAATTTTACTAATATCTTCAAAATTTAAATAAATATTTATATTTTGGATGACCAACTTTTATCAATTAGAATTTATAAAAAGAGCTAAAACAAAAAAAAATAGTGTTTTAAGAAAATAAATTTGACCCGGCCTGATTAGTCATTTTACGTCAGGACCAAACCATGAGTTTTAAAGTTAGGCTATTCAAAATAATTTTTAGTTGTATTTTGTATTTAAAAGGGAATAAGCAAATATGCGTTCAAAAAAAAATTGGCCCAGGCTTGGGTCTTCAAATCCTATTTTTCGGTTCTTCAAAATTTTATTTTTAAAAAATCGGATTATTTGTATCAAGGCTAAACATCTAGCCTGCTTTGATTTCAAATTATATATAAAAAAAATTAATTATAGACTTTTACCGGTCAGCTATGCTAGCTGGTTTAATTTTCCTGATTCTTAGATGTTGCTTAACTCTGCGCTTGTTAGAGTTAGAGAACAAGATAATTCCAAGAGCAACACCGATTGGTTTCTCGATTTCCAAGATAATACTTTTGTTATTCGTTATTTTATCTGTGTTTTGCGATGATTTAGTTTATAAAATTAAAATATTTATATTTTAAACCTATATCTTATTCATTATATTATATAAGACATTAGTTTTATTATAAAAAATATAATATAGTATACAGTACCTTTTTTATTGCTAATTAATAAATAATGACATGACACGAGGTTAATTTTCAAAAAAGTCATCATGTTCTTTGAAAATTAACCCTATGCGAGAAGAAAATATTCTGAATCTTAGATTGATAACAATTATGTATTTGTTGCTTAGATCACAGATCTGAAGAGGTTCCATACACGGCCAGGCCCAACCAGGATTAGTTTTTAAAAATTTTTTGGCCCGGCCCGGATTTTTTTAAAAAAATTAAAATACCTAGGTTTCTAGTTTAGATCAAGTGATCAGTATTTTAGATTATTTAATAATTTGACTGGGCTGAATAATTTTACTAGGCTGTCTTTTTATTTATTTATTATTATGAGTCTTGATAATTTTTTTAGTGTAAAGCATTCCGACTCCTAGCATAAAAAGATTTATAAAAGTATAAAAAGATTTATACTAAGATTCTTCAAGAGGCATCGATGGCTTTCGAGCCATTTATCTCCAAGATATAATTAAACCAACTATACCCCTATATCAAAACATACTTATACAATTCACCATATTGATTAATCATATCTTTTATAATAATATACCTAATCTCATTCAGCCTATCATTTTTGGAGCCCGCTTAATATCCTTAAATAAAACCAATGGGGACATCAGGCCTATTGCAATAGGGTCACTTTTCCGGCGAATCATTTCCAAAATAATTTGCTCCCGTATAAAATCTAACCTATCCAATCTACTACAACCAAACCAGCTTGGTTTTAATGTTCGTGGAGGATGTGAGGCTGCATCCCACTCGACACGTGTCATTCTCCATAATACACATAATCAATGCATTCTCAAAATCGACCTACATAATGCCTTCAACTCACTTAGTAGGGAACATTTTATACCTTCCTTTTGTGAAACTTTCCCAGATTATACAACATACATCGTTGCATGTTACAATCAACCCACCTATTTAAAATTTAATGATTCTATTATTCTCTCTAAACAGGGCATCCAACAAGGAGACCCTTTAGGTCCGGCATTATTCTGCAAAGGCATCCAATTAATTATAAAAGAAATCTCTTCCAATTGTGATCAATTAAATGTATGGTACCTGGACGATGGCATACTAGCAGGCCCTTATAACGAAATCATAAAAATTCCATCAATTATAAATCACTTAGCTCCTATTACAGGACTTTCACTAAACCCTCATAAGTGTGAATTTTATTCCCCTTCTGAATCGGACTACCCACCCGAAAATTTTATTTTAGTGGACAAAGCCAACTTTACCCATTTAGGTTCACCTATTGGAGGGGGAAAAGCTATATTTCATTTTAGAGATGAATTCCTTGCTAAATTTAATAGAATGAAAAATATTCTAAAATATTTACCCGCACACCAGGCTTTCTATTTACTGAAATTTTTTTTATTCATTCCAAAAATTTTACACGCCTTTCGTTCATCTACAATTTTCACCTTCCCTGAGGCATTATTGGACCTCGAAGTTCACTTAAAAAATACTCTCGAATCCATATTAAATATCAAATTTTCATCATCCTCCTGGATGCAAGCCGCTCTTTCACCAAAGCTAGGCGGTATAGGCATACAATCCCCTATATCCCTAAGCAGCTTTTCTATCCTCAATGGCTAAATTTCGACACACACTGGGAGACTTGAATATCGACCCACATCGAACGGCAGCACTAGAGCTCTGGAGCAAAAATGCCCCAAATCGCTCATATCCAGATTCCCTAAAGCAAAGAGACTGGAACTTTCCATTGATAGAGCATTGCGTTGATTACTTACACTTCAAAGCTCAAAGAAAATTTCCATCGCTCTTTCTCCACCAAAACCCTAACCCAATTATACATAATGATAATAATATGAACCCTCTGCCAGATCCAATAATTTCAACATCACCCATATGCCATCTAGGATATGAATGGTTAGAAACTGTACCTAGTTCTAATCTAGGCTTGCTTGTTATTAACCAATGAAGAACTCAGAATAGCCATTGGCCTTCGCTTAGGATGTGAAATCGTAACACCTACATCATGCGTCCTATGTGAAACCCACATCGATAGTCTTGGACACCACCCCCTACACTGTCGTTTCTTAAAAGGCAGATTACCCAGACACCATGCTATCAATTCAATCATCAACAGAACCTTGAAATCCATATTCCCTCCACCCTGGAACCATCCGGCCTCAGCCCCGACAATCAAACCAGACCAGATGATATTAGTATGACGCTAGCCCCTTGGAACCAAGGTCTACCTCTCGCCAGGGATTATACTTGCGTGGATCGTTTTGCCAGATCTTTTTCTCCCAACTCTATCACGAAAGCCGAAAACACAAAAACAAGCAAATATAGCAACCTTAATAATGTTTTGTTTGTTCCGGTAGTCTCAGATACCTGTGGATCATTTGGACCCCAACCCCTAAAATTATTCAAAACAATAGGGCAAAGGTTCGCTTAATTACAGATGACCTAAAAGAAGGCTTCAACCTTCGACTGAGAATATCAACTGAAATCTACCGGTCTTATTGCATATCCATACATGGGGCTATAAGCCCCGTTGATCATACCTAATTAAATGTTTAATTATTATTTTATTTAATATAGTTTTAATATAAATTTTATTTTACAAATAGTTTACATATTATTTTAAATATATATAATTTTTAAAAAATAAAAGAAATGTTTACTGTTTGTTCTTCCCCATCTTATTCTCTTTTTAGATTCAAAGTAATCTGTCTGAATATAATGTGATTCCTGAACTAAAAAAAATAAGGAAATTTCTTACTAGAATGGTTTATTAGAAATAAAACAAAGATTATGATGAAGTAAGGCACAAGCCATAGTATTTTTTTTATCGTGATTCGCTTTAAAGATTGCAACGAATGAATGGGCACTTAATCCCAGAATATAAATATTTAAGTTCGTTCATTAGGATTAATAATAATATAATAAAATCGTAAAAATGACCGTAGAACAGGGTATCGTAAGCGAACGTGAATATGGCATCTTGGTTGTAATGTTTAATCAAGCTGATCATTTCGGTGAGTGTCGTGTTTTCGAGATTTAGGTTATCTATAAAAAGCAGCCTGTCGCCAGGTTTTATCGATCCATCCCTAATTAAAATGGTGATTAATGGAAAAAATTCATATCATATAGCTAAATTTATTGCGGAATTATGATTATTTTAAAACTTTTTCCCTATTAATCAATTTTTAAGGCGAGCCTTTTTTAAAACCACCTATCTGTTTGACGCCATTTTTTTAATGTGTAAGAAAAGACTCATATAACTTGATTCCTATTTAGAATTTTAAAAATTGGAAGTGTATTAAAAAATTTTGTGGTAGTAAATTTAACTATTAAAAATAACTCTCCAATAATATATTCAATATATAGAAAAAGTTACTCATGAAATTTTTTAAAACAAGTTTAACCCTCTATCATTTTAAAAATTTAACCGAAGCTTAACGAGAAAGTATTATTAGGAAAAAAGATGGCTTAAATTTGCCAAAATTAAAGTCGCTCTAAAAATATGTGATCGAAGGGCGCCAGAAATAGCCCTGACATTCCAAATTCGCCAATTGGAGCCCATCAAAAAAAATCAGAGCCTTTTGGCTACACCACTGACTTCAATTTTTTAAATGATAAACCAGCACGTTTAACAGAGTCCAAGCAAAGATATAAAGACCAGGAAAGGGGGAAGTGTGGTTGGAAGACATTTTTTACCATCTAACTCTGAATACGAATTTTTGTATATATAAATTTTCTATTAACAAAATTTTCATTCAGTAATTATTCGATTTTATAATCCTTTAATAACGCTTTTCCTTAAACCTACCTTCAGCCTCATCGTGGCGGGGGAGTGGCAACGTCTTTTGGCGGCAAATGGAGGTCTAAAAGGTTCCCTGTGATCTGGGTCTAGAATAGGATCACCGTCTCCTCGACGGGGTGTAAAAACCACTTAAAGAGGTTGATGTCAGGAAGGGCATCCGATTGTAAAAACCATGCTACAAAAATTTCCCTATGGTTACAACAAAGCATGGGCGGGGTACAGCCCAAAGTACCCCGTGGGCCTCCTCATCCGCCTACGACAAAAAGAAGGATGGGAAACCTGGTGGAACCACTATTCATGAAAATGAAACCTATGACGGCCATAAACGACCTAATAAAAAGTGGAGAAACCAGTTTACGGGTGATCGAGTTAGGGTCGCGACATGGAATGTTGGGAGTATGACGGGAAGAGCGGGAGAAGTCGCGTCGATGTATTGCACAGAAGACATATAGATGTGTGCTGCATACAGGAGACTAGATGGAAAGGAAATGGGACCAGAATGATTGGCAAGACTAGCGAAAAGTATAAATTCTTTTGGCAAGGAGGTAATGATGGTAAGGCTGGAGTTGGGGTATTGGTTGCGGAGAAATTGGTAGACAAAGTAGTCGAAGTGAGAAGGCTAGACAACCAGATAATGGTTATCAAGATGATTATTGGTAGAAAGCTATATAATATGATCTCGGCATATGTTCCTCAGGTTGGAAGAAGTGAAGAAGAGAAAGATGTATTTTGGGACAGTCTATTGGGGGTGACATCGAGACTGGCAAATGAAGAGGGGATTATCCTGGCTGGCGATCTGAATGGACATGTGGGAGCGAGTAGTGAGGGTTATGAAGGAGTACATGGAGGGTTCAGTTATGGCATGAGAAATTTGGAAGGAGAGAGGATTTTAGAATTTAGTGATGCTATGGATATGATTGTTTGTAATACAATGTTTAAGAAAGAATCAGAGAAGCTGGTGACTTATAAGTCGGGTAGTAAGTACCAAAAGTGTTGTGGATTACTTGTTATTAAGGAGATGTGATCGATGTATAATAAAAAATGTGAAAGTGATACCGGGAGAGGAATGTATAAATCAGCATCGACTAGTTGTAGGAGATCTCACTCTTAAAGGTGCCAGGGTCACTAAAAGAAAGTTTGTCCCAAGGCTGAAGGTTTGGAAATTGAAGGAGGAGAATGCTAGACGTCAATTCAATATGGCATTGGCGATTAGGGAGGCGGAGGTGGCACAAGCATCTGGGGTGAATGACAAGTGGGAAGCCATGAAGAAAGCTTGGGTAATGACAACTGAGGAGGTATGTGGATGGACAAAAGGGCCGCCTAGACATAAGGAGACTTGGTGGTGGAGCCCAGAGGTAGCGAAAGCCGTGGATGAGAAACGGAGGTGTTTCAAAGTATGGTATAATAGCAAAGAAAATAGTGATAATGATATTTACAAGATGGCTAAAAGAAATGCTAAGAAATTAATAGCGAAGGCTCAAGAAGAAAAAAGACACGAGTTTGCTAAAGAAATGAAATGCGCTGATGGAATTGGAAAATATGGTTAGAATGGCAAAACAGATGTCAAAAAAGAGGCAGGATGTGATAGGTGTAAAGTGTTTGAAAAATATGAAAGGAAAAATGACGATTGATAGTAGTGGTATTAAGAACACCTGGAAGATTTACATGAAAGGACTTTTGAATGAAGAAAATGAATGGAATAATAATATTAGTTGTGCAAAGGTAGAAGGTCCAGGGTGTAAATTTGGCAAGGACGAGATAAGGAGAGCAGTGAAAAAGATGAAGAAAGGGAAGGCATCGGGTTTAACGATGGTGGTATCAGAGATGTTTAAAGGTTCTGATGATTTAGGGATTGAATGGTTAATGAATTTAGCAAATCAGATTGTCACAGAAGGTACTATTCCCGAGGACTGGCGAAGAAGTATAATTATCCCAGTATACAAGGGGAAAGGTGATCCTTTAGATTGTGGGTCTTACAGAGCTATTAAACTCTTGGAACATGCAATGAAAGTTTTTGAGAGAGTGTTAGAAAAGCGGATAAGGGAACAAATCAAAATTGATGAAATGCAGTTTGGTTTTACATCGGGAAAAGAGGCACGACAGATGCAATTTTTGTGGTGAGACAAATTCAGGAGAAGTATCTTGCGAAGGAAAAGAAACTCTATTATGCGTTTGTTGATTTGGAGAAAGCATTTGATAGGGTGCCGCGTGAGATTACAAGATGGGCCTTGAGAAAATCCGGTGTGGAGGAATGGTTAGTTACCGCAGTGATGGCAATGTATGTTGGAGCACAAACAGCAGTACGGACGGATCATGGTGATAGTGACAGCTTTGAGGTGAAGGTAGGACTTCATCAAGGATCCGTGCTGAGTCCATTATTATTTATCTTAGTAATGGATGTGGTGGCTAGAGAAATGCGTGAAGGACTTCCCTGGGAGATATTATATGCAGATGACCTTGTATTAATGGCAAACAGTGAGGGAGAATTGAGGGATAAAGTTAGTAAATGGAAGATGACTATGGAAGCAAAGGGCCTGAAAATGAATGCATCAAAAACAAAGGTGATGATTGGTGGGGAAAATCTAAAGATAGAAGAATCAGGTAAGTGGCCTTGTGGTGTATGTGGGAAAGGAGTTGCTAGAAATTCTTTATCCAATGCACCAGATGCCAGAAATGGGTACATAAAAGATGTAGTGGGAAAAAAGGCAGTTTGATGTTAGAAAGAATGACCTTTATTTGTAAAACATGCATGAAAGGGATACATAATAATGATAACCTAAAAAATGGTGGTCTGGATATTGGCAATGGGTTAACCCTAGAAAAAGTGGATAAGTTTTGTTATTTAGGTGATATGCTAAACGCAGATGGTGGTGTAGATTCTGCTGTTGTTGCAAGGATCAGACAAGCTTGGAAGAAGTTCAGAGAGATGTCATCTATTCTTACAAATAAAAAAGTTTCTCTGAAGTTAAAGGGGAAAGTTTACGTAAGCTGCGTGAGGAGTTGTTTAGTTTATGGCGGTGAAACATGGGCAATGAAAGCAATTCACGAAGCCAAATTAGAAAGAACATAGATGAGGATGGTTAGATGGATGTGTGGGGTATCTCTGAGAGAGAAAAACTAGCAAGGAATTGCGAGCAAGATTAGGTATAGAAATGATTGGTATGGTAATGCGACGAAATAGACTAAGATGGTTTGGGCATGATGTGGAACGTATGACAAGAGATGACTGGGTAAAGAGATGCACAATGATGGAAGTAGGAGGATCAAGACCTAGAGGAAGACCCAAGATGACGTGGACAAATGTGATAGCGGCGGATATGAGAAGCTTGAATCTTACAAGTATTGATGCTCAGGACCGTCAAAAATGGAAAAGAAAAATCAGAGGGAAAACTGGCCTACCCGGGTAAACCTGGAAATCGCCATAAAACGGAGAAGAAGAAGAAGGAAATATTTAATCTTTTTTTTTGAATACCTATCAGCTGATCCGCCCGGGCGAATACTCGTTACGATGAAAGGTATGGAGTTGGTGTAAACTGGTTGCCGCCCTCCTCTCACAACGAATCCATAATTGGAATTTATATCGTCCTTTCTTAGCTTTACTTTGAACTGTTTGACGAAACATGTGCCATACCTGTCAGATACATTCTTCCGAACTAATTAAATTTTTAAACAATAAATATAACTCAAAATATTTATTTTCCCATTTTAAAACACTATGGGTATATAATTATAAATATTATTTTTTTAAATTGTTCAATAGCTACTCACTCTTATAATTTTAAAATGTTATTAAATGGCTCATATTAAACGGCTCAATTTGAACCGACTATTAATAATTGCTAACTCAATATTTTAGCCAGAATACTATTTCCTAAGCCTTGAGATTTCGCTAATAGATGTCTAAATTTTTGTTCTATCTACTAGCAAATCAGACTTGCATAATAATTTTCTGGATAAAATATTGAGTTTGCCATTTTTAAAAATCGGCTCAAATCAAGGCTTAACAACACTAGGACCTGCTATTTTAAAGGAAAATTTTTTTATAACATGTTTCAATCAATCATATATTATCCTACTAACAACTCACTCATAAATAAATTCTTAGATGGTAAAATATAGTGTTATTTTATTAATACAATTTAGTTTCGGCAAAGGATATTCGATCTCCAATTGCACATGGTTTTTGCTAGTTCCCAGCAGACCTTCAACGTGGTAAGGTGCGGCTTTTGTTAGCTTTTGTCCGTTAACGCTAACTATAAGATCTCCTTTCTCCAACGCGTCGCTCCTTTTTATAAACATATATAATTGTTGTACGAGTTTAGAAAATCAAAATTGGAACCTCATCTTTAAATTTCCAAAATATCCGAATAAGATTATGTGATATTCTAAATCATGTGACACATTAATGCAAATTTTGTGTCATTCCTTTTTAGAGCGTTTATTGAAAGAGCTTATTAGAAATTTGGAACCGAATTCTTAAAACCTGGATCACATCTAGGAAACCATAACCTATTTTATAAAATAATTTATGATTCATAACAAGAAACCGTCTTTAGAAAATTATAACCCGGGAACTCTATTTTCAAGTTATATACTCTGGCTGTGTTGAATTAAATATTTTTTTTTAATATGTTGAATACTTTTCAAAATATTTTTTGAAATATTCCAAAAAAAATATTTCAAATGAACCAAAAATTAAGAAAAATCGAGAAATATATATAATTAATATTATCTAAGATCCGAGATCAAAATTCTAAAAGCGCGAATAAGGAACAATTTTAACAGGGTGTATAAATATTATATTTTATTGAAAAATAACTATTATAATTTTATAATCATTTTTTTTTATTAACAAGAGAAATTATTTTTAAAATTTAAAAAATAATTTATTTGTTTTTTATATAAAAGTGTTTTTATTGAAAATAAAATATTTTAAAAAATCATAATAAAAGAATTAAAAGATGCCACATAACATTATATGGCACGCTATGATTTAAAGAGTTATTAATATTTATAGCATATTCAAATTCACTTACAAAATTGTTTTTTTTTATATTGGATAATCCTCGTCTTCCCTAGGAAAAGAGAAGTTATAGGATATTTACGCGCGATTTTATGTTCTCGCTATTTTTAAATTTACGTAATTATTTTAAATCAAAACTTTCATAAAACACGAGAATCTTAATTTTGTAGTAATTTCTATAGTTTATCAAAGGCAATTTTAAATTTGAAAATACTGATTTGACCGGAAATGGATTCCAGCATGTGTAGAGTATCCACAGTGTAAATTTCAAACAATATTACCTTAAACTTTTCTCCATTTATATTCATATATATATAAGTTAGCGTCAATGTGTTTTTTTCCGACAATGTGTTATTTTTTCAACTTTAATTCATTTTTTGAACGATTTTTTTTAAATTTAAAATTTTGATCTTATCGGAAATGTTTTCTATCATGTTTGGAATACCTACCCTATAAATATGAGACAATTTCGCTATGAACATTTGAACTTAATAATATTAGTTTTTCCATAAATTTTTTATATAAATTTATAAATGACCCAAAGGTTAATGGCAAAATTATCTAAAATTCATATGATAGGTATTCTTAACATCCTGGAATACATTTCCGGTAAACTTCGATTTTTAAATTTAAAAAAACGCGCTCAAAAAATGATTTAAAGTTGAAAAAATAAACACATTGCCGGAAAAAACATATAGACGCGATATATATATTTAAAAAATATATAAATGTCTGAAATTAAGTGTGGATTAGAGATCTGCAAAGTTAGGGTCGGCCCGAACGGGCTTCGGGCCTGGGTCTAATTCTATTTAAAATAATCGGGTTCGGGCCCCTAATATTTTTTAAAAAAATTCGGGCCGGGGGTCGGACCTTTGGAAATTTTTAAAAATATATCTAAATTTATCAATTTTATATTGAATTTTTTATGTAAAATAAATATTTTTAATTTAATTTATTGAAACTAAACGCCATATAACATATGTCTTTTTTTGAGTAATTATAAAAATTAATTTCTATATTTAAATAAATTCGGGCCGGGCCGGCAAAACTTTTTAAAAAAATTTCGGGCCGGGCCGGGCTGGAAAAATTAGGCCCGATGCAGATCACTAGTGTGGATACCTTGCACATATTATAATACATTTTCAGTCAAATAATAATTTCAAATCTAAAAATGGCCCTCAAAAAATTATTCAAATATATTATTTTTTTAAAGTACCAATTTTGAGTGTTTTTTTGAACTACATATGAGAATCCTGGATACGTGGCATAATGACAAAAATAATATATTAATAATCCGAATTATGGGTACTAACCTATGAGCAGATGAACCAAGTTGGACCGCTACGATTTTTACCTTTTTGTGTTTGTATGCTATAACAATATTTACAAAACAATAATTTATATTTTTTAAAAAATTTTAACTGAAAATATATCGTCCGCTGAGGTTCATATTGTTTCAAAAAAACTTATTCTTTATACATTTAAAAGTGAAGATGAAACAATCAAAGTGCAAAATATAACCTGCTATTGGCTATTATCCCAAAACATCAATTTTTAGATATTTAAGTTTAAAATAATTTTTTAAATTTATTTTATAAAATCACAAATTTCTCGGGGATCCAAAACCTAACATGAACCGAACGGTTAACCACTAACCAATATTTTTTATGGAACCAAACCAGTTAAAATTTCTATCGGAACTTGAATCGAACAAATGCCTGTGAACTGGTTCGAGCCTCATGATTTTGTGCTAATAAAAGAATGTCAAAGTTATTACAAGTATTTTGCTAAAATTTTAATTTCTTTCCAAATTGTTATAAAGATTATTATTAATCACAATTTTTATAAACATTAGTATATTACCATTTTACAATATTTTTTAAATATTTTTAAGCTTATAATGCTCAGGAATAAATGGAATCCAATATATAAATTACATATAGTATTATAAATGACATATCAATATGTAATATTAAGGACTATGACACAACTATGAAGGAGGGACATCACGGAGCAAATGATAGTCACATAAAAAGAAACCGCCCTTTAATAACTCAATAAAATTTACAAAATATCAAATAAAATTTATAATTCTAATGTAGGGTTTGTATACCAAAGTGTTCGTTTTTTAGAGGTTCGAACAGAACCGATATTTTTATTTTTCAACCTTCAATCATTACTTTTATCCGAGCCTCTGCTAAACCAAACCGGTATTCGTTTCGGGTCGGATACCCGAATTTCTAAAATTTATCAACATATTTTTTTATATCTAGTTATTATTTAAAAAAAAAATAATATTTGGAACTTTATTTTATGGGTAGAACAACTCTTAATATAGGCTGAACCAGCGTATCCAAAGTCTGGGAACGTTGCCCCACTAAAAATATTAACTAATTTAAATAGTCTACATTTTGAATAGTTTAACAGAATTGAGGTTTAAACCGAACCAACGTACCCCTGCCCTAATTGAAGAAATATGATTATCTAAGAAAAAAAACTATTTCGTTAAAAAGTGGAATATAGAATGAAGTATATAATCCTCAAGCGACGATATATATTATATATAGGTTATAAATATTTCGATCATCTATACTTACACGTACACACGTAATATTAATTAATAAGTATAGGCTATTTATTATACAATGTATGAAACTGATATCCAAAATGTTTTCCAATTAGTCATAAATAATTTATAAATAAAAGAAGATTTATAAAGGATATCACACTTAAATGTAATTATATTAAATTTGCCATTATTTTATATATAATACCTGTAATTGTGATTCCAAAATTGCTCTCATCCGTTTTGTTCAAACTAATTATTGCACGACTCAAAATAGTGTCACCTTTCGGAGAAAATATTGAAAATTTATTCAATAATTTTATATAACATTTTGAAAAGATATATTCCATTCTCCGTTTATATCGCATTTTACCCTGTAAAATAACTTCCAAACTTGTAAAGTATCCTTTAAAATTTCTTTCTTTCTTATCTTCTCCTCCATGTTATCTTTATTAACATTTAAAATATTTATTTTTGTACTGGTTTGAGAATTTTTTGCTTCGCGGGATTCGTATGTAGCTTTTCTGGAACGCGATTTTTTATCGTTCACATTTTCCGTATCCTTATCCGAATCGCGACTGTTATCCAAGAAGGGGGTGTCTTGCGGCGAATAATAACATATGTTTGGGTATTTGTAGTATACGCGAGATAACGAATGCGGTTCCGTTTCCGGATCTAAGCTTTTTTCTAAAAATAAAAATAGCGTTTCGTAATTTAAAAATTCGTGATATTAAAATAAGCATCGGGCAGCCATTGGATCTTGAAAATTAAAATCCGGTCAGTTGTGTTAAAACCCCAGGTTTTTAAGCCAAACACTTAAGACAAACCAAAATAGGGTGTCCCAGTTCAAAAGCTGTTTAGTCTAGGCTGAACAGCAGTAAGTATCAAAAATAATAAGTCGAAACATCAATTCAGTTAATTTTTTAAAATACTCTGTTAATTACATACCAATAAAATATGATTTTCTACCCCATTCTTTAAAATATATTTTAATTTAATTACCGGTAAAATGAAATCATCATTTTAAATTAATTATCTAAATTTATAAAAATTAGGAAATATTTTTAGATGAACTTGGTTTATCATTTAAAAGTATAATAATTGTTGGTAGATAATTTGATGATTTCACTCATTTGTGTCAGGATTTCAATCTTCTTCCATGATTGACTATGACAAATAATAATTAATTTTTTAATGAATTTTCTTATTTAATCTAACAAAAGATATTTTTTTTAAAAAACAAGGCCATCAGATTCAAAATCTTCATTTGCAATTATATAACTATCCAAACGATTCAAAGAAGCACGAAGACCAAAACACAATAAGTAATTTTAATTTTTAAATATTAATTTATACTTCAGGAAAATATATAATATATAAATTTTAATTAAAATAAATCTACCATTGTTTATATTTTTTATAATTCATGCGTATAAATATAACAATATTAAATCATAGGAAATAGTATTAGTATTAGGTTCCGTTAATAGTTAAAAAAAATATATTTGATTTACAATTACAATGGCGGTGTCATTTATCTTTCTGTAATTTCCATTATTTTTTAAATTTAAAATTTACTTTAAAAAATTGTAGAAAACACCTATAAAGTTATTAAGATTGATTAGATTTTTATTATTAAATTTCAATAATTTGCGCTATTTTTTAATATAATAATTCATGATATGAATTTTAAATGATTAGGGTGTGGACCTAATAAATTGGGTTATTTATAATACAATTTATATATATTGTAAAACCAAAATATTGAAATAATAAATTATCTAAATCCATCAAATTTTCTTTGTAGAGATTAAAGATATCGGATTTGTATCAGTTTGAGTGAACAAAATCTTTATTTGGAATTTCCATGAAACTGTGTTATATGATATCCCTCGATATAATAGTTATCTACAAATTTTTACTGGAGACCCCCATGCGCAATATGTTAATATTTTATTTGAATGTTTAGAATGGATCGGGTTTAAAAATAATAAAAATCCGGGCCGAGCCGATATTTGTTATTATTACCTACGTAAATCTAAATAGCCTCTTTCTTTTTAGGCTTAGGGACGGCTAAAAAGATGCACTGTTTGGAAATAAGAACCAGGAGATACGGCCTTTACGCTTATGTCCTTCTCTCATTTTAAAATTAAAAAAATATGAGAATGACAACTCTAGGATTATAAATAAATGTATAATATTAAATATTCAAAATTTTTTTTATCAAGAATAACATAAAATACCGTATTAATTAAATGTATGATTTTGTTAATTTTTTATTATACTATATATAATTAAGTTTTGTACGTGCAGCCGCAAACATAATTGGTTGATTTAATGATATCACTGGCCAATTATATGAAATATGATAAAGATATTATTAATCGTATTAATTTTACGTATTATAATTATGTAGATATAAACCAAACTAAGAATTATGACCTTTCTATAATTTATATTGTATTTTATGTGATGTGATATTATATACTAGAAATCATTTTCTTTTAAACATTAATAGAAGAGTTTACGGGTAATTTGAACATGATTTTTAACAATATCGATGAGCCTGAACTTTAAAAATTGGAACAAATGAGTTTAAGACATTTTATCCTATTATAAAGGAAAAGATCGAAGAATGTGATATTTTGGAGTTCAAATTTTTTTTCTTTAAATATTGAAAATTAAATTAATGATTCATATATATAAAGTCTCCAAAATCTTGTTTAAAAAATTTGAAAAGTTTTAAAACTTTTAGAAGTTTCAAAATTTTAACAAAATATTTGTTAAATTTTTAGAATTTTCTAGAATTTTATTTTGGACATATTTGTTTTAATATTAAAAAAAAGAAGCTTTTCAAGAGTTTGCGAATAGAATTCTTTGATATTTTGGGCCCAGTATAATATAAGTTAAATTTATCATGTTATGAAAAAATGAATTCCTAAACCTATATCTTTGAGTGGCATTAATCGGACCGGTCGGAAGTAAGCATCAGGAAAACCTGGCTTTAATTAAATGAGTGCCTAAATAAAAACAATTCCTCTCTTTAAGCAGGGCATAGATTATATACACAAAATATTTTGACATACCAAATGTTTTATATATGTTATGGTATAGAAATATACTATAACATTATGTACTAATTATCAGAAATTTGATATGAATTTAAAAGTTTATTTTGATAAGATGCATACATATACAACAAATTAATTGTAACATTTACTATGATAATTTATTTAATTAATCACATGATATTAGTATATAATGAAGTTTGTTAAAAATAAAATTATACGACTAAATGTTTGAGGAAGACATTTATAATAAAATCTAGTAATCGATAGAATAAATATGCATTTTATTTAAAAATTTTGAAAGTTAATTTCCTAAAGATATTTTAAATAAATTGATTTATATTTTATATACACTGCTTTTATTCATATATTATCATATCAAATATAAACGATTTTAATAAAAATTCATTAATTAAATCCTCAGGTTTTATATAATTTAATAAACAAATAATTATAATGATGATAGTATAGGATATGTAAATAAATAAAATCAATATGATACGCAAATTTAATTATAAAATTTATATATGATAATAGCATTTCATTTGAACTTATTAATCTTAAAATTGACACATTCGAGATAGCTCTTATTATATTATATAATTGTAACAATTTAAGTTAATTCATAATCAATAATGATTTCCTTTCCACAAAAATTGTATAGCGATACATCACATAGATATCTGTTACTTTTACTTAACTAATATATAATATATAAATTAATATTAATCTACCATTTATGTTGCCTTTGCCTTTGTATTGTATTAATTTTAATGATTTATACCATCTTTTTAAAAAATTTAATATATTCCTTGGTATTGATGGTTGTAATTTCAAATTTTAAATCACCCATCCTTATGTATATGTTACTCTCACTGTATTGTATCATAATATTATTAATATTAAGAAGATTAACTTAATTTATCGATAAAATATAAAAATTAACCCGTTTATCGCGATAGACATATACATACTATACTATAATGGAAATGTTATAAAAAAAATAATTAAATTAATTGATAATATTAAATTACAAATCTAAAACAAATGTTTATAATATGCTATAGTACATATTATGCTATATTTCCTCTATATCCGAGATCGGCCCCCGCCCGAATTGCCCCCTTAAGATTTTTAGTTTAATCTTTCCATCCGGACTATATTCCGGTATACCCCACCCATAGTAAAAACAACAGATCATTTACTTTAATTAAATTTTGTATTAAGAAAATTCCCAAAATAATTTTGTAAATTTGATATTTTAAATTAAATTTTACCGTCATGGGCCTCCATTTTGGGATCTTGTTAAATATATAAGGATAAATTAGTTATTTTTTAAAAGGTTGATATTAGTAGAAATACATTTTTTTGATCATTTTATAAGAAGACACAATATTTGCTATTGCGAAATCCTAAAATAAAATGTTACACAAATTTTAGATAAAGATCACGAAGAATAATATATTTATTTTTATAATTCATTTTTATCAACTTTTCAATAGAATAGTTTAAAAAAAGACACAGATAAAGCAATAATAATAATCATATAAATTAATTATATTTTCAATTATTCAATTATTCAAATTTTTAATTTTTTTTAAAAATTATAAATGAAATTCCGAATTCACAAAAAGAATTAAACTATTGTTTTCTTTACTATTTTAAGGAAATATTAATTTATATAACAATTATGTGATAGGGTTGAAGTCATGGTTCACAGTAGTATGTTGAAAAAAGAAAATATAATAGAAATAAATCTATGTAAAAATCAAAGGTTCTATCTATTATATAGCTTTTATAAAATAAGCTTAGAAAGTAGAAAAAAAAACCAATAGATGAAATTAATTAACCGGATCTATTTAGTGGTAGAGTAAGTGAGAAATTATTAATGGCATCATTTTTTTTTAATTAAAAGAAAACAAATGTTCCAGACAAAAATATCCCAATTTCCAAAAAAAAACAAATTTTTAAGACTAACTCAGCAAATTTTTTTAAATTACCCTTATTTTTTTTTCTAAAATTTGATTATTTTTTTGTCCAGGATATCTATGTTGGTGATTTTTAAAAAAATATACAAACTTAACGAAATATACTTTTACTTTGTTACACAACATATTATTAATTTTTATTTTACTGTGGCGGCGTTATGCTGTGGCTATCCTTTAGGCACATTTCTGCTTCGGGCGAAACGTATCTCAATTTCAAGATAAAACTGATTTTACAGAAAAAGAAATTAGCCCACACTTGATTCTTTTGAATTGAAAATTAAGTACAATAAAATATTTTTATTTATTTTTTCAAACAAAATTTAGAAAAAAATAAAAACATTACATTATATAAAATACAATTTATAAAGTTAATAAATCAATATTTTTAGAGTCTAATTTTTTGCTTCCGGAGCTGGAGAATTTTTTTTAATTAATGAATTAGTTCTGTCATATATTCATTTCTTGGCTGGTCAATTTTTTTGAATGAAAATGTTTGTGGAGACACTATCTAATCTGATTGATTTCTCGAAGGGAGGGTCTACGAGTACATCAAATTGGTTTCAGGGTAAAGAACAATTGAGATGATTAGAATTGAAAAGCGAATCTGGTACGCAGTATTTAAGCATCAACTGTTTCCTCGAATTTAAATTCCAGTCATATTCCTATTTAGTTCATGCATTAAAAAAATTGCCCTGAACTAAAATCATATGGCTGGTATTCGAATCAGAATCAGCAAGGAATTTGATGAAGATTCCCAATGCCCTTTATTTGAAAATTTAAATAGTAATATGGGATATTTATGTCTGGGGTTTTTTTGATAGCTGAGTAATGGCTAAATGTCGGCCAATTCGGCTCAATCTACAAGCGCTTAAGGATGAAAATCCGTTAACATTAAGACATTTTTAATTTTTTATTAGTTTCTATCAAATTTGGGTTGCTATATTTTACGAAAAACCCCGAGGTCAAAGTGATAATTTTAAGCTAAAAATATAGTAATTACCCAAATATTGTCCGTGGGTATTTTTTTCGCGGTGTCTTATCCAATATTGCTATATGGATCTATTTCATATGTAAAAGAAAGCTTTTTTTTCTAGGTCCTATAAAAATTTCCATGTTAAAAATGGTTTTTAAATAGAAAAATAATGTCAATTATTTTTTAAAAAATTTTTTAGTAAAAAAAACCCGTATCACACTTCAGCGAAACTTTTATCGCGAATGCCATTTATCGAGAAGGAATCTTATAGCAAAGGTTATATTGCGAAACCAATTCCGGGAATTTTTTCCGCGAAACATTTATAGCGAAGACAATATCGCCAATTCCTTATCGCGAATTTATTCCCGCGAAATCTTAAACAATAAATACTTAAGAGCCAATACATTTTAATTGTAAAATTGTAAATATAAATATTAATAATTTAATGAGATATTTTAATATTTTTGATTTATTTAAATATAAAATTCCCCTAAATCGAACCCAACCCGTTAGTTTCTTTTCCATGATTTAAATCATAATACATTTTATTCGATTTAAAAAATACATAATTATTTAACTTCAATAGGAGAAAAAAAATAAAATAATAATTGTTACATAATGTATATTTTATAAAAGTGGTTTCAATTCAAATTAATTGACGCTTCTATATGATATTCAAATAGATAGTTTCAAAATTATACCAGTATGCATAGGAATGAATAGTTAAGAAACTTAACTATATGTTATATTTCTTCTTATAATAAATTCATAGATTAAAAATTTACTAGAGAAAACTCTTTTGTACAGCCACCTTAGAGACCTACAAGTGTAATTTATTTTGGTATGAAAAAGGGATCTTGTACGCTTTATTGTTTAAATTTAATATGTAAAATATTTTGGTATTAAATAATATAATAATTATGTAACTTATAAATTAATAATCATTATTAGTTCAACTTTTTCCTTCTCTCAAAAATCAATAAATAAAATATTAATATTAACAGTTCATATTTTATTTTAATAAATATTATATTGTAAAAAAACTTTCCGATCTTATTTTTATAATAATTTAGAAAAGTAATAATAAATAAATTGTATTCTGTAAGCTTTCTTTTTTTTCAAAAAATAATATATATAGAATATTAAACAATCCAACCATAATCAGCAATTTAATAATTTGTTCTTTCTTTCTTTAATTTTTGTTTTCTTTCTTTTCTTCCTTCCTCCCTAATAATTTTTTAACAACATTTATTATGGTATATATCTACAAATAATAATGTCATGTCTCATGAATGTTGATATAAAAAATTTGAAAAAAATTAAACTGTGTTTGTCTCTGTCTAACTAAAACTTGCCATGAAACTCATAATTAAGGATTAAATTATGAAACTATTTTATTACATTGAATTATGATAGAAGATAAAACAAATTATTAATAATTCGCGGATTGGTCTATGAATATGAAGTGTATGTCCTAATTAATTATATAATGTAATACTTTTTAAAAATAAGTATCCATGTTTTATTCCAACATAAGATGAGTCTGAAATTAAAGGACAAATAGGCCTAAATATTTTTTCTGGACTTTGAAACTGTTCAAAATAACGGCAAGGGGAGGTGGAGGGTGTGGTTACCATTTTTTTATAGGGTTGTTAAACGTCTGGTCCAATATTTTCGCCAAAATTAGGCAAGCCTGTAAATTTTTCTCATAGGTGGCAGAAGGGTTTGGACATCTTATAACGAAATATTAAAGTTGCCTATCTGCAAAATAGCATAATTTTCAAACCGGCTCGTCCAAATTTTTACCCGGTCTGGCCTGGTTCCCATTTTTTTACTGATGTTATCCTGGCTCAGTTTTTTTTAAATTCAGAAATATATCCTATGGAAAAATAACCAATAGTGATGAGGATTTCGGTTTCATGAATGTTCTTATTATAGCAAAAAAATACAAATTAGCAAAATAATTTATATATTATTTTAAACAAAATTAGGCTTTAGAATTTTTTAAAAAAAATATATATTCTTTATTAAGCTGGTGGGGCGTCACTACTTATTGCGCGCCCGGCCCTTTGATTTTTTGCCCTGTAAAACTGGGAATTGCAGATATTTTATATTATTCATGTTAATTTTTACCGCATTTAAAAAAAAATTGAATGAATACTAATTTTTAATATACATTTATTTTATTAATATTTATTTAATCTCACAACAAATTGTCATGTTACAAAACTTAAAAAAAACAACTTTGTATTTTAATTGTCCAGTCCGGTCATTTCCGTGTGAGAAAATATTTTTATTTCACAATTCCACCAGTCCATAATTTCTACTTTTAAATAAAGAGGTCAATGAGTTTAATTTTAAATATATATAATTTTATTAATATAAATGTTTTGTCATTGTGCGCAAATATTATTTTTTTTAGGCGTTTTATTTTAGTAAGTTATTAAATTTATAAAAAAAAATTTTTTTTATGATTAACCTATCAGGTTACCTGTCTTTTTTTTCTTTTTTCGCCAAATTTTTAAAAAAATATGTAATTTAAAACATTTTTAAAAAATTTACGATAAAATAAAAAAACATTTAAAAAAAGGTTATGATTTTAAATGATGATTATTTGTATCAAACATAGTAATTTCATAATTAATAAATATTTTGAGTATATTATATCATTTTTATATTTATTATAATTGCTAAACTAAAGACTGTCGGCCAAAATAATGAAATAAAATAATATAAAAATCAATGTCGTTTTTAGGAAAGTTAAAGAGGGGAGTTCTCATCACCCCGAGGGAAACCTTTTACAAAGATAAATTTAAAAAAAATGTGAAGATTTATAAAAAAAAAATTTCTAGAATCCTCATGCAAGATTTTTGATTCAAATATCTTTGGCAAAATATTTTTTGTGTGGGAACCATAAACGATTTTTTTTATACATCTTTCGTAATGAAAACATAAAAAATTTTTTTTAAAAAATAGTTTTTATTTGAATAACAATCGAATATTATTCATTCAAACTAATTTTCGTGTGTACGAATAGCATAATAGATGATAATTAGCGAATATCATTCAAATAAATGAAATATTCTATTCGAATCGTTAAATCCGAAACATAATGACAAGGTTATGGGAGGGTAAATAAAATACCGGATTACCATGTAAAAAAATGGGTGGAGACTTGAAAATATATCTAAACAAGAGGGGCAAAAAAGAAGGGCAGACCCAAACATAAATGATAGAATTTTGTAGGAAAACACTTTGTATATACATGCTGCATAATGATTGATTGTTGAATTGTCATAAATGGAAACAACGAATAAATCACCTAAGTAACTACTAGAAATAATTTTAAAAAACTTTTAGCATATGATTTGATTTTTAATGCATGCGATTAATTAGTTTGATGGATTTTTACACATTGATTATTTGTCATTAATGAAAAAAATATCTAAATAATAAAATTACAAAAGTTTTTCAATTTG